GATTAAAAAGAGGAGGGAAGTTCAGCTGTGTTTTCTGACATCAGTATGAGTACAAATGGAAAACTAAAAGCAACTATGTGTTTCAGCAACACTTCTTTTTACTGAAGCAGTGGATAATATTTCACTCTGAGGGTAGAAATAACCCCAGTTTTGCTTATCAGCTACAGTGGAAGGATCCAAGACAGCACAAAGAAAGGCAAATGGGAAGCAGGGATAAAAATATTTGGCTCCTTGTTAAAGAAGTGCCATCTCTGGCTTCCTCATTTCAATGAAATCCTGAAGCTAGTCACCTATAAATTTCATTTTATTCCAACTTCAGTTATAGTCAGAAACGTTAAGTGCATCATTCTTTGCCAATTGACATTTTTAAATATCTGGATGGCAATGGTGATTATTAGGATGGGTTATGATAGGTTTGGTACTCCTGTTCAATTTCAGGCAGTAAATACAGATTGTTTAATTCAGTGTCATGTGTTTAGTGTAATAGAAATTGTCACGTTCGATATTCCTGATAAGACTGTGAACTGACTGAAAAAAAAGCCCTCCCGAAAAGGTGCAACCTTGCTAATGCAATTTTCCTTTTCAGTTTTGCTTAATAATTATGCAGGTCCAGATTACAGAGCTGCTGATTTTTACTGACTTAAATTTCAGTGAAGACTGAAAGATCTAAGGGCAAATCTCTCTGGTATTAGTTAGTTGGTAGTAAGCATTTTAACTAATGAGCTTTTTCCACCCAAATCCCAACCTGTAGTACCCTAATCCAAGTAGCTGGGAGGGTGCAAAGGAAGCTCCAGGAGTGAGGGGAAAGTAGCAATTCACATGCAGCATGTCTCCCGATTAGGTGTATCTTTAACTGGAGAAACTCTGCGTCTTCATTCCTAATGAGTCCTAGGTGAGGGATGAGAATGGCGAGTGCTTCACAGACAAATTCTGGTGGCTGATGAGCTCAGGCCCTTACGCAGTGGAACATATTTTCAGGATCGCTATTGGTGTACATGCACGCTCTTAGCTTATGCTCCATAACCTCATTTGCTTTGTACTCCACATACTGCTTAAGTAGTAGTTACAGTCTTAAAACATTCCCAAACAGACTAAACGAAATACTATCTTCCTGACCAGGAACAGTTCAATTGTAAGGAATTTTCCTGAGTGACAGAAATGTTAGCTCCAGTAGTCATGAAATTCTTTTTATTTCAGAAACACTATTTTTCCTCTCATGAAAAGTATAAGGTCAAATAGTTTACAAAGAGAGGCTTCAGCGGTGCTTTGTTTCCTAAAGAGAATAATTTATGCATCCATGGGTTTCTTTAAAATGTTAAATTTAAGTTTTCCCAAAGTGAGTTTGCATAAATGACTAGCCAAGAATGTCCCCTTGGCCAACTTCATCTCTGCTCCCTTTTGGCACAGCTCAGACAAAATAACTGAGGTTGGGCAAGAGATAGGCCTTGTGAATTTGGGGCTTAACGAACATGAGAAGTACAAAACAGACAATTTTGGCAGATTTCATTGTAACACTTGAAAATGTTTGTTTTTTCTCATATCAAGGCTGCAGAGAGGGTAGAAGTGTTTGGTGAATTTGTCTCGCGCTAGAATTACACTTTCTATTTATGTAATCAACATTAGGTCAGTTGTTTATAGCAGAATTAATGGCCTTGTTTATACAGTGTTCTGCTTTTATACATGTAATTCTTCTCTCCTTCCATTTTCAGGTTAGAGTTTGGTTTTGTTTTTCTTCATAATACACAATTGAAACAAAATGTGTTGAGCATGTGTGTGTTATTCCAGACTTTATTAGAATTCACTACTTGTATGAAATACAACAATATGTGGATACACTTATGTAAACTATGGTCAGAGGGGGTTTTTTGTGTTGTGTTTTTTTTTTTTTTCTTTTCTCATCATCATAACTTTCTCTTCTGCCAAGATGTTTTTGGCAGTTTTTAAAAGGTTCGCCATTAAAAATGTTATAGACCAAATGGTTTTTAGAAACTTTATTGAGGGCACTACTTAAACAAAGGAAGAGTTGGCGCTGAACTCCTTTCAGCAGAACTTTGCACTGGGAAGTGTTGATATCTGGAAGGGAATAAGCAAAGACAACAAAACAGTAGGAATGACGCCGATTGCCGGTTTTAAAAGGAATTAGAAAATCCCTTGTAAAGGAAATATTTTTTGCTCCTGTTCTTGTGTTACCTCAAATGTATAGAAAGATGTATCAAAGGCAGGATTCCTGCTTCCTCTCCCTCCCACTCTTATTTTTCTTTTTTTCCTTTTGTCTTTTTTTTTTTTTTTAAATATATATTTATACTATGTATCACATGATGGGGAACATCCAGTCTGTATCATTATACCAGCATGTACTTGAAGCACTTATTGCCGGAACAGGGACGATAATATAGTGCAACATAGTGCAAAATTACTGGCTTTTTAATTGTTGATAAGACTCTGACTGCTCCTGAAGAACTGCAAGATGTTAGCAGGAATATCCAAACATGTATTTGTGGTTTAGCTTTCCTGTAAAACTGCACACCGCTCTAAACTTGCTAATGTTTAACAGCAAAAGTAGGAAAAAAAATAATATTTTAAAAGAAGGGTATAATGACTTTGATGGCTGCATTTTTTCCCCTTCCAGAGCAAGAATTTACTCCTTGAGAAGATTAATGGTGGTCCAAAAAGAAGAAAGAGGGTAACTATCAGAATACTTTATAGCCCCTGTATCTTCTAGAGAGCTAATAAGAACTAAAATCATGCTGTTGAAATGAAGAGTTAGTCTAATGCATCTGCATTGTACCTTAGATAATGTGTAAAGTCAGGGAATCTCTGTGATAAACTAGTACAGTAGGCTTCAGGAATGTCCACCGAGTACAAGATGTATTTAAACAGCCTGTTGCTTTCAGAAGGTACACTTCAATGCAGAGCATTAATTTAAAAACTTCATATTATCTGCATTTTTAAATTCATCCTATTTGCATAAAACCATTTAAAATTATTTAAATGTCTTTAAAATGGAATTTTAAAGTTTCCTACTAAAAATATTGGTAAAATTAATTACCACTACCCATGCATGTGAATACGGTTTTGGGTGTAAATGACAGAAGAACTGGTCCTTTGGCTCATATAATTTGATTCACTTACATACTTAGATTTACCACAGAATAAACTCCTGTCTCTGTGTCCCACTTGCTTGAAAGACAAAGATGAATGGGTTCTCATCTTTCTGCCCCAGAAATAAGGAAGGCAATCCATATATCACAGAGAACCTCTGCACAGTCCACCTCACTGTCTTCTCTCTTTTTTTGGTAGGATCAGCCTTTCTTTTATGAAAAAATCACTTTAAGACAGAGTCGAAGTCTTTAGCTTTGCTGCTGGTAACTTTTTTTTTACAAGAAGAAAAAGTCTAGCTGTCTGCCAGAAAGTAGCTTTTCAAAATATGACACCACAGTTTATATTGTAAATGAAGTAAATTTGAAGAATAAGTGAAGATTATACGTTTGTTTGTTTATTTATTTATTTATTTATTTAACTCTTAAACCTAAAGTCTTTGCTAGAAAGGAAGAAGATGAGTTGATTTCTTACCAATTCACACATCACTGGTAATAAACACTGTTCAACCATAATGATCTATCTTGAGCTTGATATCTGCCTCCTGCTTACATTTGATTTTCGAGTTTGTTAGCGGAAAAGGAGTCAGGCACCTGATATTAACTCTAAAGTAAGTAGAATCTACTCTAGAAATAGTTATGTGGAATATTTATTCATAGCTAGACCAGCATGTTTAAGTAGGATTAGTGCAATATATACATGAGAAAAAAAGAAAAAAGTAAATAGATGTTCTGTCTGTGTGCTGACTGATGTAATGAGATACAAAAGGAATAATGGCTGGAGAGACATGATGGCCACGTGGCTGGGGGTGGCCCAGAATTTTGGAGGTGAAGCTTCAGTTTCTTGCTTTGCAGCAGATCTATTTTCTTAGCACAGGCATGTCACTTCCTGGTAAATTCATTATCATTTAAAGTATTTTATTGTTTTGAGAGTAATACTGTAATGATTGCTAATCCTTTAATGAACAATTCAGAATTTTCACTTTATCAACAGAAGGGTAACCTAGAGCTGTCAGCAGTAGAGTGTATTTTTCCAGAAACCAAAAAGTCCACTGGATTCCCTTCCTGCCTTCTGCAGTCCCTGCCACTGCTCCGTGCCCTTCTGCACAGACAGAGAGTTTAGGGAGGACAGCTTCTGGCAACAGACTGGTCTTTTTGGGTCAGAATGTCCCAATTTTGGCTTAATGCAAGTCCTATTTGGAGAATCGGGTTGTCCATGGAGAGTCACTCTGGTGTGCTAATCGAAGCTATAGTGTGACAGTCACAGAGGCACTACTGGAGTCTACAAAATTACATATTCTAAATATGTGTGTATATTCATATATTTATATGTATGCATATAAACACACATGCAAGCATACATACACATAATCGTATATATCCCAAAGGTTTCTATTTTCCATTTGCTATTGTGTTATTTTTTTGCAGCCTTTGCGGTGCAAGACAAGGAAGCTTCCAGTGACCTCTAATTTAACTAGCAGTTCTCCCCTTTTTTTAATTTCTATGCATGAGCATATAGCTCTGTCCAGAATCTAATATCCCGAACACGACAGGAGTCATATAATCAGTTCTGTAATCACTGAGTCACATTGCTGTGGGCTTGGAGCTGTGCACAAAGGTACTCAGGAACCGCATTACTTTGAATTCAGCACAGCTGTATAGGATTAAACATTTTTTAGTTAAATTAGCCAAAAATTTTGCATTATATTTTGTGGTTTCTTTTGTCAGTTGAGAAGGATTCAAATTTTTATGTATTCTCATTCTCTTCTACTTTATTTCAAAAAGTAGCAAGCAAGTACCATTCCCAAAAAAAGACCAATTAATCTTCCTAAGAATTGTCAAATAATTCCTAGAAGTTTATGCAACAGACGAATTTCACTAAATTAACATTAAACAGAACTTCTTGAAACACACACAAACAAATCATTTACATGTGTCTTATTTTTAACAATTTAAAGCATTAAATTAGTGTTAGTTTTATTTTCAAAGATTTTTCCACATTCGTTTCTGGTTCTTAATATTTTTATGTTTTCATTTGCAGCAGGCAAAGCACTGAAAAAAACAATGGAAAAAAGCAAAAGGGCTGCTCTACACTATGATTAAGTATTAATGATAGTGTCTACAAATCTAGAGAAACCCAAGGGCTTAAACTCGAAGACAGACAAACCCCAAATCTTTTCCAGAGATTTGACAAATAGTTGGGATATTTGAAAATAAATATTTCATGCCTATTTTAAAAGCTTTGTTTTTGCGTAGTTTTGAACTCCTACATTTTGGTGAAAGAAGCACAGAAATATCTCAAGAAAAGTAATGTCTATGATACTGATTTCTATCAGCCTGACAAGTATCAGGAGATACTGGAAAATTTGCATTCCTCCAAAGTTTGTCCTTAGGCAAACAGTTTTTATTGGCATCAAAAACCGGCACACTAGAATTTTTGTCTGTATCTGTGAAGGAGAAAGTATATACTTGAATTTTATTTACACTGACACTGTAATAGGCCAGAAAGTGGGTGTAAATAATATTTAAGTTAATTCTGAAGTTCCACTAAACTGTTTGATACTTGCAAATACAGTAAATACATTTTATTCCATGGGTATAGGTAAAATTCAAGCATAGGCTTTCTACGTTACTATGATCTCCAAACAGTTTTGAGACAGGATCTGTTCATCTTCAGTCTCACGTTGTGCTGCTTACATGGCACAAAGTGAAGTTAAACCCTCTCCGGGGATCTTCTTTCCAGCATTCCCTTATTCTGGCAGTGGTAGGAGAGCCATTTTCTATGCCAAACCTTGCTTGGCTCTGCTTCTGTGCCAGCAGTTTTTTATCTCAGCATCAAGAGAGGAAGCGAGGAGGGGTTTCCTGGAGAGAAGATGGGCTGAAGAAGAGGCTTTGGTCAAAAATGGTATCGTGGTATCTAAGTTGTCTCCCAGCATAAGGTCCATCAGAGGCTAGTGATTTAAGCCAAAGCTTACCTGTACTTCTCTAACAAGTTCTGTCCTGCCTCAAGAATTAGGAGTTAGATCTGCTGCTGCTTCTCTGCTGAGCTGAGGAAAGGAGGAGTGGAGCAAAAAGAGAGTGTTTAATTCAGACTGTCCTATATTCTCGATAGTCCTCCTTCATTTGTATTCTTTTTAGTGGATTGGATTAAATTCTTGCACACAAAAAAATTAGAAAACAAAACATTGATTGACTTTTCAACTTACTTCCTGGGAGCAATTTTTTTTTTTTTTCAGTCTGCAAGTATTTGATAGATAAGAAATATATAAATATACCCACTAATCCTAGTTACCTTTGATATGTTTCCCTGTTTCTAACAAGTATAAATAATTTTCAACTCTTTCAGAGTGTGAACCCATATCTGCAAGGACAGCGACTGGATAATGTTGTAGCAAAGAAGTCTGTTCCACATTTTTCAGATGAAGACAAGGGTCCTGAATAAGTACAATAAAAATGAATGATGAAAACTCATGCCATCCTCTGCTAGATCGTAATATTGCTTATATATAATCATCTATTAAAATCTTTGTGAATGGCAGCATGTTTATTATTTATATAATTGTAGATGAAAAACAGCTGTATTTATAACAGTATGTTCTCCTAGATAACAAAAATATGGTTCTGCTTTTTGTTAAGTTATGGTAAAAGGACATTTCTGTTGTTTTTATTTTAGTCATGGAGCAAACTTTAAAAATGTTAGTCATTTTAATAGCTAACGTGAGGTAAATGGTCTTAATGAGCAGCTTGTAAATAGGAAGATGTAAAAAAATGCCCAGTCTGACTCCAACATTTAATCTTACATGTTACTATGTTTGACACATGAAAATTATAGTTTTATGTTTTGTTCACAAATATTGTTACTTAGCAAAGACAAAGTATTTATTTTACCCAGAGAATTTTGGCTTTTGGTCCATTCTAATAAACATTTAAGCAATCTACAAGGTTTGCAAAGTGACATTTTCCAAAATATTTCAGAGGCTCATTTGTCTCTGTTATTGCTGTGCAAATTTAGAAATTAAAGAACTGCTTTTTGACTCTATCCCCTGGAATATTTTTCTGTTAAGTTTTAATTGTTCCATGTCCACAACCTTCCTGAACATTTGCACATCTTTCTTCCCATCAATGGTAGTGTAGTGTGCAAATTAATCTCCCCCGCTATTCTTTGTCTTATTAACAGCAGCATTTGTGCATTATAACGTTCTTAAATTATGTGTCCCGGAATATTATATGTGAAGATGGAGACATTTGTCTGTGTTAATCAGGTTGTGTCAACATCCTCTGAATCTAAATCCAGGATATGAAGGTCATTACAGTTGACGATCTGAAAAACTATGATATTCTAATAACACTGGTAGCTATCACTGCTCTTGAAGTTGCTCCAGGAAGCTTAAATTGCCTTTTTGCTCCTAGGAGATGGAAGAACTTTATATTCCAGAAAATTGAGTTCTCCCTTTCTGAAAGATGAGAATATAAAATTACCTAAAATTTTGTTATTTTCAGGGTGCATCTGAAATATTTCGAACCATGTGCATGGGGAACCGGAATTATGGAAAACAGCATTAGCTTACAGCTTTGAACTTCATATCTGTGGAAAAAGAATGTAGTTTCCTTCCCTGTCCTAAAGAAAGACACAGTAAAATAATGATGACCCCTTAGAAAAAACACATAAGGACCTAACGGAAACTAAAGGTCCTAGCTACGTAAGATTAAAGTTAACAGGATCGCACAAATATGTCTGTGTATGGCATTTGCTTTTTCTATTCCAGCACTTAGTAATTTGTAATAAATTGTGTATTCAGAGAATCGGTCCTCTCACGTCATTTATGGGTAGATTGCAAAACTCTGTAACATTCTAGGCTGAACTAGCATGTCTTTCATCATATTTCCTCTTTAAAAAAATCTGGAATACAAAACTAAATAGTATGTAATGCAGTGGGATTTATACTCACACGTGATGTGAAGTTGAGGAGTTTGTGTGAATCGCAGAGCTCCTTCCACTTCCAGTGCCCGGGATGGGATGGGAGTAATCCAGCTGTTCACATGAGAGAACTTGAATTCTCTGCTTCTTAAGCTTACTCTTTTTATCTGCACACCTGCTTAGCCTTCACACAGGTATTGAGAGTTGCAGAGTTGCAAAGGTTGTCTCCAAAACCAGAAAAAACTATATATCGTGGCATGAATTTGAAATCAGAACCCACTGATGCCCAGTGGCCTGGAGTAGGAGAAATGGTCACTCTTCCCACCTAACCCCACAGCCAGCCACTGGTGCTGCCACAAATCTTCCAGTTGGTCAGAGGCTAGATTTCCATTCCTAAGAAACTGGTGTTTCTTCAGGTACTCAGCTGTCATCAATACTTTTAAAGTAATCTGAGCTACATTCTGTCCTTATTAGCCCCAGTAAAATCCATTGTAATCACAAAACCAAAGCAACCATAAAGGTGATTTATTTAATTTTTAAGCTCTTAGTAAGGACCAGCACATAGTAAAAGGCAGTGTGTACAGCAAATGAGGGGCTTAAAAACAGAGGAGCAAAGAAGTATTGTTTGCTTTATAGTATCAGAAATCCCATGTCTGATTGCGTGAAGCACTGCAGCTCACTAAACCCACACCATGGGGATGTGATAACCTGGCATCGCACACTGACCAGAACAGGGATCCCCGGTGGCTGCTTGTGACCCTGATAGGGCCTGAGGAGCTGCCTTTCTGTCTTCTATGGCAGATCTGCACAGAGCAGGCGAAGGAAATATTACACAATTTAGGGATGTTTTTGTCTTTAAATGCAAGCGAAAAAATCCTTTATACTGCACAACACAATGATGCATCTTACAGGAACTGTCTGCTGGAAGAAATCAAACGCATGGCGGTGAGCAGCCATCTGCTGAGTCCATCAGGCAGCTTGAGTGTTTCACCAGGAAGACTCAACAGCACTATTGTGAAATTTTAATAAACTATTGCTATTTCACCATGATATTGAGATTAATTTCAGTTTCATAGTAGAGCTGCCTTCCTGTACTGGGATTGGTAGTCCCATATTAATTAAAAAAAAACAAAAAACAAGCAAAAAGAGTTGTCCCTTCTACTGCTCCAACAACAGTCCAAACATGTATATGTAGTTTTTTATAAAGAATCATCACAGTGCTGGCTTTTTGGAATCAATGAACAAAGATACCAACTAGCTCCCTCACTAAGAGGTTACTCCACCAAATCAATATTTACAAGAATGTAAATAGCGGCTCAGCTCTTACAGGTGTAATCACCCTTTTACATTTATGATGCATGTGAATCAAGGAGCATGTATATTGCTATTGTTGTTTAGAATTTTAATTAAAATAAAATCTTTTTAGATTCTTTTAAAATCTGCAAGTGTGTTAATTATCTCTAACATATTTGAGACACAATGTGCTTGAAAGAAACCATATAAAATAAAGTGTATTGCCATGCAACATTGCTTTTGTCTGGTAAAGAAATATTTATGACCCTAGTTTAAAAAAAGCACTGTGTAACTGAGCAGATTATAGTATTTGATTTGTGACACAAAACTTACTCTGGGGGTGCATACGCACACACACACACACTAACGTACACTACTTAAAAGATAACATAATCTTATAATAAACTCAGTAGTAAAGAATATAAAGATGTCAACCCACAGAAGAAAGTAATACAAAAATGCTTAGTGAATTATTTAGGAGGGGAAATAGCGATATGCTCCTTTTTATTGGCACATTTGCATTCACCTAACAAAACCATGCCGCTAATCTATTCAGCAACTCATGAGCAAACCAAAGAAACTTGGAAGTAGTTCCTGGGAACGTTATGTCAGAGTCCCAAGAGCCACTTACAGGACTGTAAGTAAAGCTGATCTGAAGCTTATTTTATCAAAATATGATGAAGCATATCTTCATCTGTTAAACTGAGGAAGGACACAGGCAGAAAGATGACTACCAAGTCAATTAAGTTTTTGGCTTCGTTGTGGGCAAAGTAAAATTCAAGCCCCTTTGTTTCCAAATGTCAGGAGTTGGGGATGAAGAAAAGTATTTTTTGACAATGAAGAGGAGACTTGAGTCCAGCCCTCAAATCAGGCCTCTAACCAGTAGCTGTGTGAAAGTGTTGAAAAGGCTTTGTTTTCATTTTCATGCTGCACAAAAACTAATTTTTGAAACATTTAAATTTGTTGAGAAAAAGCCCACAACAACACCAACCCCAAAAAAACCTTGGACTCTTCTGGCCTTTTTGCTGGTAAGCTCACTAAACCAACTCTTACCTCATTTGTAATGGTGTAACACTTGTCCTGTGAATTAATTTTTATCCAAATACTTCTTTTTCACATGCAAGTCTGGAGTGTCTGGATCATTAAGTCAAGGAGTTCAAAGATAACTTTTCAGTCAAAGTCACAGACTCAAATTCATGGAAGGAGAAAGGTAAGGTAGGCAGATTCAGAAGATGCTACCATGACCATGCAAAAATTTAAAATGTACAAGGAAAGTACAGTTTCACGTGACCCATAGGGGAGATAAGTGTATTCATTATTTTAATAGCTAAGTGAGCTATAGGTAAGATTTAAGGTACCTCTCCATCCAAGTCAGAAGCTATCAAGGCTATCAGGGAATCAGAGGAGAATACCTCCAATTCTGAGACATCTGAATCCAAGGTTTCAGGCTAGTGGAGTTCACAATTAGATTGCATTATATTTCCACCATGCTTGATACAAAAATGTCATCAATCTAATACGCCTTAAAGAAAAGATAACACGAACAAAAAATGAACAGAACATACCAAATCCATTGCCACATGTATACATATGCATATACTTAAAAATTCAGTTTTGTTTCAAGTCATGCAATTACCTTCAATACTCTTAAATAAGTATCATGTTCAGGAATTATCTCAAACAATGTGTCTTTTTTTAAAATAAAGAATTATTGTGTCCTTAAGAGACACCTTTTTGTGGCGCCTAGAGCCAAAGGCAGATTCCAACCATGAGCAAAGATGACAAGCTCCCTTAAAATGCTCAGCCACCGACAATGACATACTTAGATGCAATCTAAATAAAAACCAAAAGGAAATGTAGAAGAGGGTGCAATTGCCATCATGAAGGGCCCCATGAACCACAAATATGGCTGACTGGCACAGGACTGGGTCCTAAGCCAAGATTTCCAAATATGAGACAATAAAAGGGTTAAATGAACTATTTCCCAGGTACGTACACAGTTCAGGTCTACCATACTCAAGCCTTTTGCTGTTAGGTGAAGAATGGCTTGAATTCCAGTTCATCATCCTAATTCACCATGAGAAGGAAGTATGTAGTATCAGTTCATGTTTGCTTTATTTATGATGCTAACTTCTTTGCTGTGATTACACGGATCCTGATGGTTGGAATTGCTGCTGGCCATGTGTTCAACACATGCGAGCATAACAAACTTTAAGTGATGTGAGTGTCATGGCAGCAGCATTACCAATTGGAACTAAAAGAGCTTAAAAAAAAATCCTGTTTTACTAACAAGATCTATTTTTGTATATGGGGCAGAGGTGGGGAAGGAATCAGAGATGGTAGGAATTGGGAATCGCTTCAGTATTTTTTCCTATAGTTCCTGTTACCAAAACACATGGAATCCAGCTCCTATTGCAATGCATGGGTGTCTTTTACATTTAATTACTACGTTTCTTCATCCTACTCTGCTCTCCAAGAAAAACAGTGGTGGGAGTCGGTGACTAAATTTCATTGTAAACTGAGTGAGGCAAAGGAGAAAGCACAAAGAAAAATAATGTGTTATTTGCTAGTAGCCTCAAACTCTCCCACGTTCCCTAACCAGTGTCATTCATTTACAGACCATTAAGCCCTGATTTTAAATGTATAAACACTGACTACTTTTATGCCAGATCTTTGTTCCGAACCTCACCACCATATGACAATGTAACTTTCTTGAGCATCACCAAAGATCTCCATTACAGATGATAGAGTTTTTAGGTCTGGGGATCTGAATATTTGTTAGATCACAAAAGGGGCATACTGCTTTGATGCTGAATTCGGTCTTAGCCTCTTTTAATTCATTTTTTATTCTGAGAAACAAATAAACAAACAAAACCCCTAGCAGTTCTTCAGTGCATTATCTACATTCTAATGCCCCGAAGTCCTCTAAAAGTGGCTGAAATTCAAGTGGGATAGCCCCTATGGGGAAATGTGGTCCTGATTCCTCATCTTAACATAGAACAC